TAAGCATATTTTTAATCTTAAAATAAAAATTAATTTGCATGTTAGATAGGCAACATGTTAAAAAATATAAAAAAGGCACGAGAAAAATTGTTTTCAAAAACTTAAGACTTAATAAAAAATATTAATTATATTTTGCGTATGAAAGCATTGTAACGTTTACTAATAGCATGTCAAATTTCGTTAACAATCACTTACTAATTTAAAAGTTATACCATTAAAATTATAACAAGCACAAAATGGTTACGAGGTCGGTCCCAGGGACCGAGCATGTGCTGAAAGAGATAAATGAACAAAATTATGCTAAGGTAAAACAAACTGATTATATGTTGAACTAATTTTACTATAATACCTAACTTTTCCTATGTGACTCAGAATGTACATAAAAACAAAAATCACAATCTATCATTTCTATAGTTGAATGTAAATAATTCCAGCAAATAATTCTATATGCAAATAGCCTCTTTCTCTTTGATTTTACACTATATTTCTTGCAATAGAACTTTACAATTAACAACTTCAATTCATTGGTATTTGTGACTTATTGTTCATAACTAAAAATTAATGTAATGTTAAATACGAAACTGGCTAGCCAAAATAGAAAGTACTTACAAAAAAAAAAAATCCCCAAACTATAAGCCAACTTGTAGGAGAATACGTTTTGTGACATAATATCACTGGCATGAGGTAGCCATGCCACATTGCAGGGTTCACAGACGTCCTGATATACCAATCAAACTGCTGTATAATCCTTAATTACTTATACAGCTACCTCAAAGAGGCTATAACCTGTAAGGACACTCCTCATAGTACCCGAGCATATGTGCAATGTTTGGTCCCACTAACTTGTGAGAGGGGGTTTGAATACAGCTTCAGACATAGTGCTCAGAGATCCTGAGTGAGCTCAGGAACACAAAATCTGATGCCAGATTCAGATTCACTGATTTTGGAAACCTACTTCTAATCTCTCATCATAACTGGGTGATCTACAGGACCATTTCAATAAGAATACCCACAGATCACTCAGAGTTTGCCTGTCAAGTTTGGTCCAGATAGCTCCAAAACTGTGGGAGTAGATTGTGAACAATAAATTCACAAACACACACAGAATAAATTAATATATGATGAAGTATTTGTGACGTATTTCATGTGTCAAAGTTTCCAAAAATTGTGTATTCAAATTTGAAAACATCATGGAAATATATTTGAAATTATCAATTATTAATTGTGATAATTTGTTATGAAAACACCTTATACTTAAAGCTATAAAATTTATACCATCATAAATTCTCTATAAAAGCAAACACCATAGCTTGCAGCAATGTGATACTTCATGTCATATGGAGAGTAGCTATTTTGTGTTTTGCTGACACTGTATACATACTTGGACCTTGCTTAACACACACACTTCAATTTAAACTTATCAATAAAAACTTTAAATCAATAACTATACATCATCTCAATTTGCTGAATACTTTGACTGCTTCAAAAATTAAATGTTTCACATTAAGTTAAAATGGAATTGCTAGAGTTTTCCATCTGAACAGCAGCTTGTGTGACACATGAGCTCAACAGCCAGATCTGGTCTATTTCTAACTTTGAACTACTGATCAGAAGGCAGCCAGGCAATGGGAACCACTACCAAAGGGGTTTTTCCAGCTCTTGAAACCAAATAACACAGTTAACTGTCACATTTTATAATGCATCCAAAACTAAGCATGTCCAGTGTATGTGTGTTTAGCAGTAGTGTGCTTCACACGTTAGACTCTACGATCAGCAGCCCAGCACATTAACCACTAGGCCATGTCCGGTCCTTGAGTTAAATCTACTATATCTCTTTTCTATATTGTTTTGTGAATTCTACAAATGCATAGCTTGTACTAAAAAAATGAAGGATTTTTTCTTACCTTGCCTGTCTTGACAAAAGCTTCAGCCACCTTCCTGTTTCTGCCACCATAACATGTTGTGATCAGATCTGCCACTCCACAACTTTCAAAAAATGTGCTCAGTTTTGAGCCAGGATAGAAAACTTCAGCAAACTTTATCATCTCCATCAGCCCAAGTCGAATTACGGCAGCTTTAGTGTTATCTCCATAACCTAAGCCATCCACGAATCCTGCACCACAGGCTACAATATTCTGTAAAACAGGTATATTTTATGTATTAGGTCATCAAGAAATTAATGTTGCTTTTTTAGATGAAAAAACCAAACAACTTGTATATTAAAACAAAACATTTATTAAATGAAATGTCTACATTCTTATCGATGATGCTTTTTCATCTTACAATCAGGCTGCAAATGCCCTGATTAAAGAAATCACTTGGCTTTGAAGCAAAAAACATGTTGATGTCCTCTTTAACACCTTCCACATATGCATACGTTTTCCCATTAAGATAGTGTTGCAGTGAATGAAAAAGATGGCAATCTAATGGTGTCATATCTGGAGAATATGGTGGGTGGGGAGAACTTCCCAACCCAATTCCATAATCTTGTGTTGTGTCAAACGTGCCACATGTGAACGTGCATTGTCGTGGAGAAGAATACCTTTCCGATTAACAAGTGAAGGGCATTTCTAATGAAGGGTTTGATTTAAATGTTCCAGTTGCTGACTATAGATCTCTGTATTGACAGTTTGCTGTGGATTGAGGAGTTCAAAATGAATTACTCCTTTGATATCCCACCAAATGCAAAGCATCACTTTCTGCAGATGGAGTCCAGGTCTTAGGGTCAGAAGTAGATTATGTCTGGGACTGAGCCATTGTATTTGGTGCTTAATATTTGCATAGAGAATCCATTTTTCATCACCGATGCCAATTCTGTCCAAAAATGGTTCATGCACATTACCCACCAGAAGAGACAAAGCAACATTCGTACGTTGGAAATGATCATCATCGAAGAGTTTGTGAGGCACCAAAACACCTTCTTTATGGAGTTTTCCCATTTTCCTTAGATGTTTACATATTATTTCATCAGAGACATGCAAT